AACGTCTCCCATTAATGTCCATTACGCTTACCAAAAGGAAGCGATTCTCCTGTTTCTAGGGCGCGACATAAATTGTGTTCGAGTTCGCCTCGGATTTAATTCATCCACCGAGTGCAGCGACCAATAAATGTCTCGTGCACTTTAAATTTTCCCGTTGCGGCGCGGATTAAAATTTTTCTACCGCCGATAAAGTGCTTTTTAAAGCGTTTCGCAAGAACGAATCGCATTTTGATTTACTGCGGTACAAAATCGGTCGGTTCCCTTTGGGGGATCATAACCCATCCATGCACGATTCGCGTTCTCTGATACAAAGACAGGCGTATCAGAAGTTTTCCTAACGGAAATGTATTAAAATAGAACTTATGTAGTGGGAATCGCAGAGGAACAGAGACAAAAGCACGCCCGAATTTCGTTATTAATAAAAAAAAACGCCAGCTGGGCATTCGAGCGATATACGATAGCCGTATTGTGGATTAACGGATATAATTCGAATTTATAGGTTCGTAGGGGTTAGTTGCGTCAAAATACTGTACTGAATCGATTTAAATTCTATCCCCTCAGGCACATTTTTATTAAAATAATGACTCCGTGTGCCAGTAGTAGATCAGAAACCTACTAATTTCACTCTGTGTATAAATATTGAGTTGATCGGTATTTGCAGACATCAAGATGGGACTTTTCCAAACAGAAGCTCTAAATTAATGAGCGTACCCGAACAAATATCAAAAAGGGATAGCAAACAACAATTAGAGCCAATCACTTTCGAACCGTCTTCCACGTTCTAATATGAGAACGCCATTCAAATTTATACGGTTCTCAAGGCAGCGATAAATACATTATTCAATTTCCGAAGCCTTTCACTTTGCGACTTACTTACAACCACGTACGGTCAAAATTACACGAATCCAATAACGCTTACGATAAAGGGCGTAGTAAATTATGTAGTAAAACGCTAATTGAAATCGAGCGTGACATACAGAAATGTGATCATAGCACCGCCATACGCGTTCGTACCGTCTAAATACTCGCACGTTAAAAAGCCGCCAAGACGTTAACGCAAATCAACGGCGCGGGACAAACTTCGTTATCGACGGATGGCGAGCAGCGGCCACCGATCACAATTCACTAACTCGAAGCGCTTTGTCATGAAAATTAATCTTACAGTGATAATTGAAATTCCATCCGCTTTACTCGGCCGACTTTATTACCAATATAAATTCTCGACAATGGGGCAAGTAATTCTAATTAAGACATTTTCGAGTACACAGCGCCACGGCGTTAGTAATACGCAATTTACCTTAATAGTGGAGCGACCTCGTCTTGGGCGACTTGCAATTTGGGTTGGGCCCACCTCCCTGTAATGTATAGATCTAGATCAGCCAGCTGAGTTACAACAGAAATTCGACCTTTACTGTTTTCTGTCGGCATCAAGGTGGATACCACCTTTTACAATGCGAATTAAGGTGAAGTTCGGCAATCCCATTAATTTAAGAGATATAGCACAGTGGTTCCAAAAAGTTTAGCTTTCGAATCTTTGTGTACTGGGTGCATCCAAAAATACTCAGTCCTCAGGAGGTTTTTGGAAAAGTACAATGGAAACTTTCCCTAAACATTTCTAAATTGTTCTCAATTATTTGAATAACTTAAAAAAGTACTGCCTTTTTTTGAGGCCGGAAAAAAATTGTCTCAGATCGACCCGAAAAAAATTTTCTTATAGAATGTGGCCTGTAGAATCCATAATTTCAAACAGTTCCAAGATTGGGCTACTAGTTCAAAGGTTACAGCCCTTTGAATTTTTTTTCGAAATTGGTTTCTAGTCTATAACTTTTGATTAAGAAGTCTGATCGAAAAAGTACGAATTGATTTGGATTCTACGCACCCAAATTAATAAGAAAAAGTGTTTTCCCGAGAAAATTTGGTGTAGTCGATTTTTGGTAAAAAAGGAAGGTTATACACTGCTTTTTTTTGAGCCCCGAAAAAAAATTGTCTCAGAGCGACCCGGAAAAAAATTTTCTTATAGAATGTGGCCTGTAGAATCCATAATTTCAAACAGTTCCAAGATTGGGCTACTAGTTCAAAAGTTACAGGCCTTTGAATTTTTTTTCGAAATTGGTTTCTAGTCTATAACTTTTGATTGAGAAGTCTGATCGAAAAAGTACGAATTGATTTGGATTCTACGCACCCAATTTAATAAGAAAAAGTGTTTTCCCGAGAAATTTTGGTGTAGTCGATTTTTGGTAAAAAAGGAAGGTTATACACTGCCTTTTTTTGAGCCCCGAACAAAAAATTGTCTCAGATCGACCCGGAAAAAAATTTTCTTATAGAATGTGGCCTGTAGAATCCATAATTTCAAACAGTTCCAAGATTGGGCTACTAGGTCAAAAGTTACAGCCCTTTGAATTTTCTTTCGAAATTGGTTTCTAGTCTATAACTTTTGATTGAGAAGTCTGATCGAAAAAGTACGAATTGATTTGGATTCTACGCACCCAAATTAATAAGAAAAAGTGTTTTCCCGAGAAATTTTGGTGTAGTCGATTTTTGGTAAAAAAGGAAGGTTTATACACTGCCTTTTTTTGAGCCCCGAGAAAAAAATTGTCTCAGAATTTTCTTATAGAATGTGGCCTGTAGAATCCATAATTTCAAACAGTTCCAAGATTGGGCTACTAGTTCAAAAGTTACAGCCCTTTGAATTTTTTTCGAAATTGGTTTCTAGTCTATAACTTTTGATTGAGAAGTCTGATCGAAAAAGTACGAATTGTTTTGGATTCTACGCACCAAAATTAATAAGAAAAAGTGTTTTCCCGAGAAATTTTGGTGCAGTCGATTTTTGGTAAAAAAGGAAGGTTATACACTGCCTTTTTTTGAGCCCCGAAAAAAAATTGTCTCAGATCGACCCGGAAAAAAATTTTCTTATAGAATGTGGCCTGTAGAATCCATAATTTCAAACAGTTCCAAGATTGGGCTACTAGTTCAAAAGTTACAGCCCTTTGAATTTTCTTTCGAAATTGGTTTCTAGTCTATAACTTTTGATTGAGAAGTCTGATCGAAAAAGTACGAATTGTTTTGGATTCTACGCACCAAAATTAATAAGAAAAAGTGTTTTCCCGAGAAATTTTGGTGTAGTCGATTTTTG